GAAAGAAAGAAAGAAAGAAAGAAAGAAAGAAAGAAAGAAAGAAAGAAAGAAAGAAAGAAAGAAAGAAAGAAAGAAAGAAAGAAAGAAAGAAAAAGAAAACCCTGACAATAGCCAGACACAGAATCTGGGGCTGCAAAAACAGTTTATGAGAAGTGTGATCTCCACAGAGAGTAAACACCAAGAAGGTGTTCCCTGCACCTTCTAGCTTGTGAGCCAAGGTGGGGAACCACATCCAGAGGATGCTTACCTCATCAAACTCTATGGCTGGAGCAGGGAGAATCAGTGGTCCACCCATTTTTCTATCCTAAGTCCCAAGCCAACTGTGTAAGTGACCACACTGAGAATCATAGGCCCAGGAACCTGGTTTTGATTTGAAGTGGACACAGGTCCACGAGACAACATAGTGGTATGAATGAAAATGTGGATCAAACTGAGAAACACTGCCAGACCTCTAAGAAGAGGAACAAATCTAGCCACGTGTGGATAACAAGCGAAGGCTCAGTGTGCATGGAGTGCAAATTGCTTTGGTTGATCACCTCACCCACTTAGTGCTCAGAGTAATCTGATGGAAACAGAACACTATTCAGCCATTCTCATACTCATGTGCGTAAAGGGAGAGCACCTCTAGTGAGAGGGACACTCCAACTGTCCATGAATTCTGTTGCCTGGAGTAGCCTGGAGGCCGCTCATGCAATCACTGCATTGTGGATCTGCTGGGGATCAGTGCCATACATTCAGCCCATGTTTTGACTCAGGCACTCTAAGTAGGTAAGGCAGGGCTGGCCGGACTCAGCCTTCATATAGTCCTGTCTGGGCCTCAGAGATAAAATGACCCAGGTCCCTCATTACACTTATTAAAATTTCAAAATGAGAAGACTATGAGGGAAAAATCCTAGCTTTTATCTAGATTTTAAAGGAAACCTTGGAAGAATAGATGATCGGGTTGGAATCCCTGCAAGCAGCCCCGAAGAGAGTGGCACAGCATACAAAGCTGCGAGAGGACAGCTGGGGCTTCAACTGAAGGTCCAGAACTCGGATGTGCCAGGAATGTGGACCACATGTTAAGAAAAGCTGTGGGCAATGTGAGCAATGAGCAGAGCCCACAGATGAGAACACTACTATGAAGAAGGCATGCTATGACCTCCTCCAAGGTTCTACAATCTCACTACCACAGGGTACACCATACTCAGATGGGTTCTGGTCTTACTCTGGTCCAGTCATTTTTGCTATTCTACTATTCTCTTTTGTAATGGGATGTTTACTCGGTGCCATTCTATCATGGAAGAATGTAACACATTTTGGAGTTTCACAGAGGTAAATCTTTGCTGAGTCTGAGGCTTTAGACTTTTGAACAATACTTGAACTGGCACACTTGGAGATAACAATTTATTTTTGCATTATAAGATTGACATGACTGTTTCGAGGGCCAGAGGTGGAATGCTGCAGCTGGGATATCAATGGTCTCCTCAGAGGACTCATATACTCAAGACTTGGTCACACACCTTATGCAGTGTTCAGAGGAGCTTTGGGAATGTGACTCAGTCAAGTGGTCTCTTTGCCTTTATCAATATATTAATCTATTAGATGAAAAAACATATTCTAAGTACCCCATGTAGCGAAACTAGTATTTGAAAGAGCAGACTTCAAGCCAAAATTATTCAGATGAGATTAAGGTTGGTAAACATGAATAAAGGTATCAATTCTTTCAAGATCTGGTATACTATGTTAGGTTCTTTAATAACTAGGAAAAGGACTGAGTTGAATTTACGACTGACGATTCTAAAAGCTCTGCCGGGCACTGTTTTGGGAACTGGTGGTATATGCCATAATCTTATGCAAAAATATAGTAATGAACTAACACAGAACAATCTGTCATTTTTATATCTTACATAGTAGGAGAGTTTCAGTCAATATTTGCTAAATCATTAAATAGAGTGAATAATAAAATAGAATAAAGGAGAATGGCTGCCACAAACATACACAAAATCCCTTTCTCTCATTCCCTATAGTTAACCAACCTATATCTAAATTGCTTAACTTATAAATAGCATTGGTGCTCACCTTCTAAGTTTGCTATGGAGATTAAATAGGTAGTGATTTTCCGGAAGACATAAATAGTTGCAAGGCACCTGCCAGACTTTCTATAACTGGGACTCTATTACCTTCTGAAGGTAGAGCAGTAACGTCCACAACTTACCATAGCCCATTTCTTATATACTGGTAAATGCACAGCAGGTCCTAAAGAAACAGAAATGATACCTAAATTATTCTTAATCTTGTGCACTGAATTTAACAAACCAAATGAACAATTTTCAGGGAAAAATGAGTACTTTCAAAGTCATTTTCCAGTACCTCCCAGAAGTCCTCCAGTCTAGAAAAGATGATTTTTTCCCCCACCAAATGAACAATTTTCAGGGGAAAATGAGTGCTTTCAAAGTCATTTTCAAATATCTTCCAGAAGTCCTCCATTGAAGAAAAGAGGATTTTTCCCCCTACGAAGATATAATTTTAAGTGGTATTAAAATGCAGTATTTGCTGTATTACAAAAATTATTATAAAACATGTTGACTCAATTATACTCTATACTTCTTATATGAATGGTGACATAAATTCAACACATAATCATTAATGCGTGGTGCACAATTTCAATTTGTTTAATGTTCTCATTCAAATTTCAAATTAACACTTAAGGTAGTTAACTTTTATTGATGAAAATACTACACTCACATATTTCTTAAAACAGAGTTAAATGGCCCTTAGAAAAACCTCACACTCACACAAAATACTGATAATTTATGTATCATTTCTATACAGCAGTCATACTACATATAATCTTGGTGTCACCCACTGTAACTATGGGTACACTACTGTTTAAATTATAATTTTCATACTTAAAAATTACTATTCCTGTCCATCAATGAATGGATAAGCAAAGCATACAGCCATAAAAAGGAATGGATTATTAGTACACATTAGACATGGAGGTATAAAAGAACCCATACACAAAAGCCACGTTATTTCATGATTCCATTTATGTTATGCCCCAAATTGGCAAACCCACAGGCAGAAACTCTATCAGCAGTTCCCACAGGCTGAGGAAGAGTCATTTAAAAGTGGACACCAACACACCTGGGGCTTTTTCTGCAGATGAGAGAAATCTGAAACTAGACAGTGATTTCAGAATGTGATGAACATGCTAAAGATCATTGAACTCTGTACTCTAAAAGGGTGAATTAATTTCAATTTCAAATTAAAAAATAATGTTCCAGTAAAGATCAGTGTCCATGACTGTGATTAGGAGCATAAGAAGCAAGTTCTCTAAGATGAAGAGGTCATATCAGGAGAATTTCTGGGCAAGGGAAATTAAAACGTGTTCATTATATTTATTAATTTAGGGTGTGTGTAGGTCAGAGAACAATCTGTGTGAACCAGAGTTCTCTCTCTCTCCATCATGGGGTTACCAGAGATCTAATTCAGTCTTTGGGCTTGGTGGCACGTACCTTAGCCCACTGAGCCATCTTGCAGGCTTGGTAAGGGAAAATGTAATGACATATTTAAGAGCACAATGGAAGAAAACACTGCTGTGATTTACACATGTAAGAAAGATCTTTCCCACAAACAAATTAAAATTTTTGCAAGAAGCCAAAATTGTCAGGTAACAATCATTCCAATGTTGTATTTTACACACAAATGCAGCCTTCCCTATACCAAAGCATCCAGCCTAGGAAACAACCAACTTACCTTTATTAAGGGTGATCTAAAACTCAGCTGGTGAAAATTTCATAGATGCTGTTCCTGGGTGGTGTTGTTTCAAGAAAAAAATGTACGCACAGGGATCTTGCTGCAAGAAACTGCCCGGAGGTGAAAATAATGGTCTGTAAACCAGTGACTTTGCAATGTCTCAAGAGGATGGTGATGCATATTCATCTTCTGACTTAAAGCAGATTCTCATAAGATGGACAGCACCAAGAGCTCTTAATTAAAGAAGATATTGTTTTGAGTGACACAGAGCTCTGGCATCCTCTGCAGGGAAACCTTTAGCTCAGAGGCCTGCCCACACTCTTGGCTGAAAGTCTTCATTATCTGTGCTTGTCTGAGGACTTATGATGCTTCTTCTCTTCCTTATCTCCAGAACTGTCCCATTTCTCTTTCTTTTCTACCTTTTCTTTATCATGTCCAGACTCCTTTTTCCCACTGGATATTTTATCCATCTTTTCGGGTTTAAATGAATCACCTTTTTCTTTGCCTGAAGACTTTGACTTATTTTTTTCCTTGTCTTTCTCACTTGGATAAGGAGACTCACAGGGATTTTCACTTTTGTGTTTTGAAACTGCCAATATTCCATTTTCATCCTTCCGTCTTTTGATTAAGTCTAGGGGCACTTCCCGGTCATTGTTTGAATAATCCCTTTTCCGCTCTTTCCTGTCCTTTTCGTCTTTCTTCTCTCTTTCTCTGGATCTCTCCCTTGACTTCTCCAAATCTTTCTTCTCCGTTTCTCTCTCCTTACTCTTGCACAATGGCGGTAGAGTGTGGTTGATGTAGAGCTTTGCTGAAGACTCCTTGAGTTTGACCAGACTGTCCTTTATTGTGGAAGAATGGGATGGAGAAGGGTGGGAATCAACCTTTCGACGTTTTTCTCTTTCGGGCTCTGCATTATCTGTTCGGGAAACTGGGGATTTCAAGGACACAGAAACTGGTGTTTTTTCCCCTCCTTTAACAGTTTCTTTTGACTTCATTTCCTTTGCTAAATCTCTTTCTCTTGATGGCTCTTTCTCTTTTTCTCTTTCTTGAGTGGATTTTGATTCTACATTGGGGACGATGATCCTGAACTTCTCATCTTTAGCTTTTTCCTCCTTCTTTAATTTTTCCTTGTCTTTGTCAGACTTAGGCATTCTTTCTTTGGTATCTCTTATTTTCTCATCTTTACTTGGCTGTTCTTCCTTGGGTTTTTCTTTATTGTCTTTACCAAGTACCCTAGCCTCTGGAATAACAGCTGGGGTCTTCTCTTTTTTTTCTTTTTCTTTCTCTTTCCCCTTTTCTTTGTCATTTTCCTTAACAGCTTTGGTGTTAGAGCCACTAATTCCATTGTTTGAATTCCCTTTTGGTATGGCGCTAGAAGCTTTATTAACAGCTTTCACACCACACTGAGACCTTTCCCGTGACTTGTCAGCCTCTTCAGTACTGCTCTCATCTGACTTAGATGTACTTCCTATAGATGATGGCAGCCCACTACTAGGCCCATTTTGTACACTTGTAGCAGCATTTCTTGGAGGAGGATCTTTGTGATGAAATTCATTTTCAGGTATCATGTATGTCTTTCTGCTTTTCAGCTGCCCAGAGTAGACCATTGCTAGTGCATATAGGTCTGGCTTCTTTTCTTTCTCTTCTTGGCAGATCTTATGCACTCTTCTTTCCAAAGCCTGACCCAGATTTAAAACTTTGGGGTACCATGGCAGTATTTTTGTTAGCACAATCAAGATATTCCTGATATGAGTATATTCACCTGTCTCAAGGCAATGTACCGATGCCTTGGTTAGTTTATAATGCCATTTATGTACAACATGTCGAAAATTCTCATAATCTAACTGATCAGCTTTATTTCCACCATCAAATCCAGTTGCTCGTAATATAGTAAGGAATCCTGGATAGTTTCCACATTCCTTCTCATAGGTGGATCTGTCGCTATGCCACCGAGTCACAGTCTCTAACATACAGCAAAGAAATCTCCCGTATCGACTAGCTTCATTTTCAGTAAAGCTAGCAACCATGTAAATTATGTCAGAGAAAACTCGGTCATAGCAGAGAAGTGTGGAGAAATTTGGAGTCTTTTGTTGATGGACCAACTCAACAAAATGAGCACAGTAAACAGAATCAATTGCTGAAAAAATACATCGAGGAAATATACACAACTGGAGAAACTTTGTGATGGTCTCATTTTTAGTGGATTTTGCTAAGAGCCAGTTGTCCTTTTCCAATTTCAGTCTCTGTAGCACTCGCTGTACATGCTCCATCTGTTTCTTTTCTTCTTCAAGAAGCTTGTCCTGGAGGGCAGTACAGCGCTCTTTCTCTTTTTTCTTTTTATTCAGAGGCATTTCTTGATTGTCGTCAATTGCTTTCATCTGGATCTTGAGTTTATTGACTTCTCGTTCATAGCTGGTGTGTGGAACTGCAAGGTCATACATTGTGAGAGACCAGAATGTGGTATAGAACTGAGGGCTGATGTCTTCCCAGACTTTGGAAACGTGTAAGGAGACCACTGCTTCATGGACAGGAGCCATCACCATCTCACACGATGTAATGTACTTATGGACTTTATGTTGCTGTTTACTTCCCTTTTCTGATTTCTTAAGTTCATCATACTTTGATGAAATATGGTGTGCATACATTGGCCGAGACAGAAAAAATGCTGCATCATGGGGTGTATGAAATTCATTACAAAGCACATCAATTGAAGGTACTCTCTTTATGTAGTCATCTGTGCTTAAATTTGATGCTAAAAATCCACCAAACTGTACCAAAGTATCATGACACTGGTCATACAGCTTTCCGACAAGTTTCAAATGTTTCTCTCCGCCTTCCTGAAAGATCACCCCATTCCTCTGCTGAGCCATAAGCAAACAAAGAGGAAGGGCAAGATCATGGTCCAGTAGTGCATCCTTCAATCTCTGAGAGGATTTTTTAGTGTTTCTTATCTGGCCAAAATATCCACCCTCCGCTTTCAGCTGCTCCCCACCAGTCATAGCCTCTAGCTGCTCCATTGTCATTTCTTCTGTAACTTCTATGCCTGCCATCTTTTGAACCACTTCTTTCAATATAAGCAGGTCAAAACTTTTGCCTGCCTTTAACTGATTGGCTACATACTGAAGAAGACCAGCAAGATCAATTGGGTATTTACGAAAAACCGCACCACAGAAACTAGCCAGACTCTGAAGCCAGCTTGAGATGGTTGTGTCATCATGTTTCATTCTTTCTTTTTCTGGATTAGCTAATGCCTCGATGATACAGTAGGCCAAAACATCATAATTCAACGCAGTGAGATATTTCAATGAGTCTACCACAGGTGTTATTAAGTTATCATACTTCTGTATTTGTGACAAGACATAATCAAACAAAATGGTTGGATTGCTGTGGCTCAGTTTCCCAATCTGTCTTCCTGAAGGCTTCACATTTTCCTTGGTTAGACGCTTCATGATGTACTTGGCTCTGTCTACTGTATGGGCTTTAACTTTTACTAAAAGTGGGTGACTGTGGTAAGTCTCATTCTTCCACTGGCCATATAAGCGGTATCTATGCTGATAAGGAAATGTTTTAAACATTCCCCATAGTTCCTCTGACATACACGCATTGCAATCCATCAAAGAAAGAGACGGAAGCAGTACCTGATCAGTAACACTAAGCAAACAACTAAAGATAACTTCCATTTTCTCTTTATTTTCTTGTTTCCCATCAGACTGAAATTCCTTCATAAATGACTTGCCTATGCGCACAACCTTTGCAAATAAGATGGGATCATGGGAAAGGTGAGGACCAAGATAACAGAACATACTGAATACGTCTCTCCTTAAGTCCTCAAAGCTCTCTGCCTGTTTTGGTGACTTCTTGCTTTGTAAAGCATTGACAGGTGAGCCTTTAGCACCTTTAGGAACACCAACTCTTCGGTAAAGAGGCTCAATAGTTACATGTATAAGATTGCAAATAGCAAGGGCTATTACTTTATGTGATGCTGCATAGTACGGAGGCATCCGATCCATAATACTCTGTGCATGCTGCCAATCACCAATAGTTAACAAGGCTTCCAACAAGCCAAGCTTTTGATTGTCAGGTGCCTTCTCTACTTTATCATCCTTTTTCTTTTCTTTCTCTCGTTCATCACTTTTGTCAGAAGGCAATACAACCATAGTAAGTTTTCTAACAATGTGCTTGGCTTCCACAATTTCTCGTTTGTATTCATTCATAATGCAACTATCAGCTGGAAGAAGGTGTACATAAAGATCATCCAAATCAATAAGATTAAACTGCAGAAGTACTGCTGCAACTGTATACAAAGATGATGGAGTCTCACCATTTGGCTCCTGGTAAAACTTGAATTTGAATCCAAGAATATGACACAGTGTTTGTGGTTCACACATATTCATGTAGGCTTCTAATAAAGATATAAAGAAGTCATGGTGTTCTGGCCTACACTCAAACACTTCTAAAATGATATCCAAAACTCGATTGGGATCCAGATTAAAACATCCTATTAAAGATTTGAGAATTTCTAAGATTAAATCACTAGTAATATTTCCAGATAAATCTTGCCCCAATTCAACAATAAGCTTGGCATAACCTTCATTTTCTTCTCTTAACAAATTGAACTTCTGCTGTTTATAAAAGAGTTTTGTCTTGATTTTAACTGACTTTTGATTGAACTGCTGTGATTGCTTAATAAGGCCTAATGATTCCAATGTTTCTGGATCCAAGCGTTCCTTTAAAACTGTGTCTGAAACTAAATATAAACAGGCTAATACCAATTGTGTAAAGTGATCTCTCTTGCTTTTTTCTTCTAAACAATTCGTCTCAATGTCTAATATGCAGAATATATCAGCAAGAATAAGTGGGATATCTTCACGAAATTCACTGATGTCACTAAGAACATTTGATGCCTGTTCAGGCTTTAAAGTTCCTTTAATGACATGGTATGACAATTCATAGAGAGCTTGTTGAAAATCTCTACAAGCCAAAGTGTCGCGGCTTTTACTTTCACTGAGAATCCGGCATAAACGCAAAAACTCGCCTCTCCCAGATTTCTCCCAGTTCTTGATCCACTCCGCGGGAACCACCACAGTTGCAGAGGCCATCGCCATCTTCTCTTTGCTAGTAACAGAGCCCGGATGTGCAGTCCGCACTCACACTTGCTGGAGGTCAAAAGCCCCGCCCACAGCGAGTGCTGGAAGCTGAGCGTTCTGAAGAAAGGGTTTTAGGGTTGAGGTACTTTTCTGATTCAGGAACTGGAAGCTGGGAGTGCTGGATGCGTAGTGTCACAGTCTGCTGTCCGGCTGACTTTATGCCCTCTGGCACACACACTGTAGGTCACTGCAACGAAGAAAGAGCCAAATAAACTTCCAAAGGCACGGCTCAGAAGTTCCCTGCGCCAAATACCTCCATCTGGGAGCTGTCGTTAGTGAAGGACTGAGTACCCACCCAGGTTTTCTCTCAGCCTTACCTTCTTTCTGCATCCTTTTTCTAGGTATCACAATCTTATTGGCTTTTTCATATTTGCTTATGTGAAACAGCTGACTCCGACAGGCTAGTCAGCAGACCCTGCGACTGTCTTCAGAATCCCACCTAAGCCTTGCTCTCTCCTCATGCTGAACCTGTGTTTGATCTGCTCACTCTACTAGGGACCCTTCCCAGTTCCCCCGGTGGAGTCTTCACTCCTCTTGGTTCTGGCTTTGAGAAACGATCCCTTGGTGACTACCACTTGGGAGCCTTTGATTTCTGTGGGTTAGGAGGCTGAGGTTGAGTTTTCCCCTTCTACAGTTTGTTCAACCATGCTTCTAGTGTGGGCCACACTGCTGGAAAATCTTTTCCCTGCATCCTACCATGTTATTCTTTCTGGTCCCCCTAAACCTCGAGGAGGCAACTTCCCCAAGTGCCTCTCCTTCCCTGCTGGTTCCCTTAATTCTACCACATCTCTACATAAAGTGTCTTTCTTCAACTTGCTCTAATTACCACTTTGGTTCATCATCATTTTCCTTTTGAAGGCTGACAAATACCCATTTGCCTCCTGTCTGCTAACCAAATCCTGGGTGGAAATCTCTAACCTAAACCACAAATATTCAGCTCATACTGAGTGAACCAAGGAGGAGGCTGGAAGATACATAGATAATCTAGAGTTAATCTATCCCTCCAGAAGAGCTCCTAGTAGTTCCAGGTATCTTGCCCATCCAGCTCGCATAAAGCAATGGACAGTGTCCTCTGCAGAAGCATTTTGCAGATGTAGGGTAGCAGTTACCAACCTGCGGGTCACATAGTAGGTAACCCAACAGATAAGTATATCAGATATTTACATTATGATTCATAACAGTAACAAAGTTACAGTTATGAAGTAGCAACAAAATAATTTTATTGTTGGTGGTCAACACAACATGAGGAACTGTATTAAAGGGTCACAGCATTGGAAGATTGAAAACCACTGCTCTGAAGTCAATAGAAGAGTGAAGAGGACTTGAAGGAGTAAGACCCGATGAATCCTCAATGACAACTAAATGATTAAGATTACTCCCAATTAATGTAAAATGGTAACAGATGATACTGAGGTTTCCTGTGAGAAAATTGTTTTTAAAATATTTTTTTTTACTTCTAAATTTGATAGGTATGTGCAAATACACAAATATATGCATTTTGTTCAGTGATTTTAAAATGTTTTCTTTTCTTATCAGACTTAGACTGGCATCTGTTGCTGAAGTTCTCAGGCTCTATAGGGCCTTTCAAGGCTTTCAGAGAGAAGGACAAATCTGCTTGGTGTGTAACACCCTCTGCTGCACAGCCAGAGAAGCCTCTAGCTTTGAAGGATGACTATTTAATAGACCTATGATCACCCTAAGTGACCTTAGACCCTGTCCTGAGCCAGGTTCTGGCAAGTCTCAGATATCTATGACTGACAGTTCTACACAAGTCAGGAACAGCTAGACCACAAGTCTACAGTCTATGAGTGCTGGATTTGCATCAAACATTTTATGAAGCCTAAACACAGAAATGTATGTGAATTTATTTGTATAGTGTCAATTGCAATGGAAAAGTATCAGTTCACTTCTTTCATTCTGGATGGAAAAAATCCCACACACTCTAAACAAAAATGTATTGTGGAGAACAAAGTGAGTATGAAATAACTTTAAATGAGGACCAAAAAGAATAATATTAAAAATGTCAGGTAACAGACATATGCATCACATACAACATTACTTTTTTTATTTAACTCTTGTTTTAACAGTTGAATTTTCTTCTTTCCACAACAAAATCCAAAATAATACACACCAAAACACAGGTCATTACAACCAGCATGGAAACTAATGGAAGCTACTTTCAAACACAGTTGATCACTTCAAAATAGCTAGTGTAGACTATCTTGTTACTATTATAGAGAGAATACATGTGCAACTATTTATCAATATACAAGACAGTATAAAATTATATCTATTATAAAAATGGCCAATGATAATAAGAGATTAATGATTACAATGAATGGAATGTGAATGGATTAAATGCTTGTAAGATGACCAAGCTCCAATAACTGGTTAAAATGTAAAAGGCATCTCTAGAATTTTTGTAACATCATTTAAAGTGGACATTTATGTAAAAAATAAGGCAATCTTTAAAAAACAGTAAGGACAAAGAAATTTTTAAACAAGTTAAGTGATATTATATTCATCAAATAAAGAAAACGAGCTACATCATAAAGAAAATGACCTACTTAATGAAGTATTAAGTTTGATAAAAATTATTTGATATTGGGGCTGGAGAGATAGTTCAGTAGTTAAGAATGCTGGGTGCTATTGAAGAAGACCTCCGTCAGGTTCCCAGCACCCATATCCATACCTATATTACAACTACATGTAACTCAAGCTCTTGAGGATCTGACATGCTCTTCTGGCCTCCTCCACACACACCACATACAGAGACTCAGATTCATGTAAAAAGTACTAAGATATATATAAATTATTTTGTTATCATATAACAGTGACTTGACTATCATAAATTCTTAATATATTGAACAAAGCATCAAGACATATTTTAAAAAATATATCAAACTTCATACATGCTGAAGATCCCTAACCCCAAAGTTAGAGATGTGAATTTGATACAAAGTCTGAAGTCTGATCAACGGACACCACAAATGAAAAAATTACACAACACAAAACTCTGTTTCATTCACAAAAACATTACAACATTGCTAAAATGTTATTATATGTTACATTATATACCGTATATAAAGGCATATACAAACTTGGGTCCAATCTGTAAGATATACCAAATATATGCAAATATATTAAAATCTGGGGAAACCACAAATATCCAATACTTCTGGTTCTAAGTATTACGGATGAGGGATATTCATTCTGTACCATACCAAAAAAAGATCATTCATATCTTTTTTCAAGTATTTGTGGAAGATTTACAAAAACTGGTCATATATTAGGTCACAATGGGAACACCAGGAAATCCTTAGGTTGAAAATCAACAGGGTAGACAGTTTAATAAGAACCCTGGAACCCAGTCTTCGTATTAGATCACAACCACAGTAAGGGCAGATTCCTTATCTTCCACTATTCCCCAAGTGATGTCTAACTACTCTGGGTTGTTTTCAGTAAGGACTTTTAGAAGTCAGTTTAGACAGAATCTCCCTTAGGCATTTTCTATTCACTGACCCCCCCCCCCCAACTCTAATTCTTAGCTATAAATTCCCTCTTGCCCATCCCAAACTTGGGAGTGGAGCCTACTGACCCTCTCTTCACTGCAGACTCTACTGATATGGCTCCTCTACAACGGTCTTAAAAAAGTCTACAGTGCTTTCAGCGGATACTGTTTAACACACTTTAACAGAGAACTTACACTGAAATGGAGAGAACATTTTATCCGGAAGCCTTTTGAGAATCATGAGATTGATGAGGCTGAAGTGTGTGGTAGTTTGACACTCTTGTCTCCATCATCTAATTTAGTCTTCTGTTTGACCAGCATGTCCAATTTAAATTTTTTCTTGTGAACACCTCTAAGATATTAAACTACAATTAGTAGAGTTATCGTGTAAAAGAGCCTTTATTTTTCTTCTGCTGACTCTGGTTATTAAGATAACTTTGTTATTTAAGGTCAACTGGAGTTTGCTATTTCAGGTAGACCTAAATAGAATGTAAATACTGAACTTGAGAACATGGGAAAGAAGGGGGTTGGGAGGATAAAAAAGGGCCATTTAAAAAATCATGATGCTAAAAGAACTGCTTTATCTGGGGGAAAAAAGTGATAGAGATAAAGTATCTGAGTCAGCTCTAAGTTGAAATTCTCAAATATCAATGGCTAAATACATATTTAAGTATTCTTGGCTCCCTAATTTCTATGAAAGGAAAATAACTGTTTCTATTAATAAATGAGCTTTCATAAATTATTGGTATGAGGATAGTGTTTTAAATAGCTTTTTTCACAGGTCCTTACTAAAAAGTGACAGTTAAATAATCTAATTAACCTTCAATTTAATGGCAAGGACTATACAAAGAAAGTAGCTTGCATTTCAAGGAAAAATCTAGCAAAAGATATAAAGTGAATTATTTTGGTGACAAAAAATGTAATTTTGTCTAAATGAACAAAATATTGTAAGCATTGCTTCAAAATGTAAATTTAAAGACAGAACTGTTCAGTTGGAACCTCCTGCTTGCTCCTGCACTGTCTGAGAAGCCCCATTCCTGTCTCTCCAAACCCTGCCCACTCAGAGAATCTCCAAAGGAAAGGCACCAAAAAGCCCAGTTCTACATTCTTGGTGGCTAAGGCTGCTTCCTCCCCTGAAACTGCCAGCTGCCCAAGTCCCCAACTAAAGCATTCAGCTTTTACCATACTTGGGCACAAACCCAGCTTGTGGTGGACACGTCATTACCCCTCAACTACAACCTATATAATCTCCCTGCTTTAGGTTCAGGCATGCAGCTTCTCCAACCTCAATCTCTGGGACTGGAGAACCCGCCCAGGAGTTGCTTTGCTCAAACAAATCTATTGTTATACCTTTGCAATTAGGATTTCTTACTGTGTCCTCAGAGAAACCTATTTGGGGGGAGTTAGGGGGCAGAAAACCTATAAAGAACTAAGAACAAAGGCAGAAAGAAAAATAAATACTCAAAAAGAGAATCTACTTTAAAAAAATAAAACACAAGTTGAACATACAAGTGTTAGTAAGAGACCCCATCTCAAAAATAAAAACCAAACAAACAAAAAAGGTGGAAAGTGATAGACACCTCATGTTGACCCCTGGCCTTGGCAAGGAACATGTGGGTGAGCACACTTGCCAATATATGCATGCATATATCACACACTCACCAAATTAATATTATAAAATTAGCTTCAGGGGTTGGAGAGATGGCACAGTGGTTAAGAACACTGGCTGGTCTTGCAGAGGACAGTGATTCAATTCCCAGAACTTACACAGTGATTCACACCCATTTGTAACTCCAGTGCCAGGGGACTTCATGCCCTCTTTTGATTTCCATGGGCACCAGGCACACATGTGGTGTACATACACACAAGCAGAACACTCATACAATAAAATACACCAATTTAAAAAACAGCTTCCAATACAACGAGAAATTATTAATTTAAAACGATTGGTTTGTCATGCAGTATATTTATGAAATATGGGCTCTTTCTGAATTTGTCCAATAAAAGATGACAGTATTATGATTAACTTGAAAAGTATTTGGGTAACATAAGGAATTAATTCAGGAAATAAACTAACCCCTCAATATGAAAAATGACAAACTAAAATGTCTTAAAATTCTGAGCAAAAATATGGCAAAAACTTCTTTGCTATGGTTTGGTCTACTGGTTTTAGACCTATTTTGAGTGAGAGGAAAGAAAAGGAAGAAGGGAAACCCTTATACTATTAGCCAATTAACATTTTCCTTATTTCCATTCAGCTGGTTCTGATATATAGGTATTTGGTGTGTTTTACACACACCTCTCTATATTAGCAATGGTGTGAATTAAAATCGGCCTACATGGTTTATTTTCATAATGCCAGAATCTTTCATTCAGCTCACTGTCTTGGTCTGTTTTGTTATGTGCTTTCTTTTAATTTCTTCTGTTTTTTTTACCTCTCTGTCAGTGGTTTTCAACCTCCCTAATGCTGAAACCCTTTAATACAGTTCCTCATGTGTGGTGACCCTCAACCATAAAATTATTTTCGTTGCTACTTCAGAACTGTAATTTTGCCTACTGTTATCAATCGTAATGTAAACATGTGTTTTCTGACGGTCTTAGGTGACTCCTGTCAAAGGGTGGTTTGACCCCTGAAGGGGTCGTGACCCATAGGTTAAGAACCACTGCTCTCTATGTCCTCTCTTGGAACTACGGAGCTTGTTGGTATAAAAATAATTGTTAAGAGTAGGTGAAGCATGTGTGTACTTGTATGGGTTTTTTAAGATTAAGACGTCTTTTAAAAGGCATCCAAAAGAATAACTTCTGCCAAATGTTCGAGCATATCATGGAGACATACCTAACGTTTGTTAAATGCATACAGTGTAGTATTTTCAGCACTCTAAACAATCAGTGTTCTTGTCTGAACATCTTGGCTACGTTTATTGCACCGCGTGAAAAATTAACAATAACTCCCAGTGTTAATTTAACACAGCTGATATTCTGATTTTGTTTATAAATGTGATCCTGAAAATAGCTCCTACAGGTGCTCCATTTCTGAGGGGCAATGCATCAGGCAAACCCAGAGACACACTCCTAAACGCCTGGTACTGCGTCCTCTTCTCGAACCTAAACTAATCTAATCGCCCCCCGCCCCCGTCCCCGCCACCCCCGTCCCCAGCGTTTCTACAACCTCAGACTATTACCGAAAAGTACGTCTAACAGCAGTGAGAAGAACACTGAAACCGTTCCCGGGAACACTTTCAGGCTCTTCACCCCTTTTGCTCCCGTTCCTGGTTTTACTGCACCTGGGACACAGTTTAACTCTCCGAAGCGCACTGTCCAGACACCACCTAGTGCCCGTCAGGTGGGCATGTTGTGTCCTGAGCGACGCCAAGAGGGGCCACCCAGAGCCCAGGCACCCAAGTGGATGGCCTCCGCCTCCTCCGAGAAAGCCCGGGAAGGACTGGGAGCCCCGGCTTTTCCCGGCGTGTTTCCGGACGGGTGGGCGTCCAGTCGCGGCCCAGCGGGACGGAGGCCGCTGCCCACGCCCGCCCGCCCGCCCGCCCGCTCGCCCCCCGAACTC